CATTCTTTTCAAACTAAACGTTGCTTTAAACTGTTGTGTGCTTGGAAAAACATAAATTGTAATGTTAAAAATCTAAAGAAAAAAGCCTTGACAGGTTAAAAACTTAAGTTAAATCACAAGACAGAAGTCAATGTCACAAATGAATAACTTTTAATTTAGAGTCACGGTATGTTTATAGAAGATAATACTATTAATATAATGTGACTTTTCTAGAGAATCATTATACATAGTTATTTTATTCAGGGTTTCCACAGTCTGACATCATTTCAGAATTCCCTGACTTTTAACTGACTCTGGATTAGTTTTTCCTGACAAAATAAATGCAGCCGTTTAAATGTAGCCCAACAAAGCCTTGTTTTGGCTTAGAAAGCACTCAAACCAAACCTGACGAGCGGGTCCGCCCCCTGGAATCAGGGTTTCTGTGGGTCATTAAAAATCATTAAAAGTCATTAAATTATTATTTTTTAAATAAAGGCCTTAACTGGCATTAAAAATCATTAAATTTGATAATCAATCGCATTAAAATGCTTCGGAAAAAGAAGCTTGAGGCCGAGAACAGGCTAGAGAATGGGGGGAAAATGCTAATTTGAACCAAAGTGGCGCGAAAACGAGGAAATTGGGACATGGCTGCAGGCTGTGCATGTTGAAGATGATGAAGGATTTTGCCGTGCATATATTTGTGTATCTATATATTACCCATGACTTATATTTATCAGTCATGGGTATTTGTTGATGGCATTAAGATTATTTCTAAGAGCATTAAAAAACATTCAATTAAAGTTACTCGTTCATGTATAAACCCTGGGAATGGGGGGCGTTTTGTTTCTTTGTTGGCCTGTAATACCCAAAACCTGTCTATGTCTCTGAAACAAAGACCCCCATTCCTAAGGGGCGGACCCGCTCATCAGGTTTGATTTGCATCTCTTCTAAGCCAAAAAAAGGCTTTGGTTTGGTCCACTCTATAAAACCTGAAGCTCAGTGCTATTTCTGACATTTTTAATTAAAAAAACTTCCTGGATGGGAAGAGAAATGTCTTCAAAACTTGGAAACAAAGTCCAGTGGAATCTTTTTAACTTTTTTTGAATTGGCTCATTGTGCAAATAAACGCCGCTATTAGAACTGCTTGTTAACTGCTTTTGCATTTCTCTGCAGATCTGGAACATCAAGCAAATGATAAAGCTGACGCAGGAACACTTGGAAGCTCTGCTAGAGAAATTTGGAGGAGAACACAACCCCCCCTCCATATACCTTGAGGTAAGAGCGGTTCAGTAAGGAAAACGCCGTGTGTAGAGGCTCTCCAGTCAGCATTGTGTTCCTGTCCTTCCTGACAGGCCTATGAAGAGTACACCAGCAAACTGGATGCCCTCCAGCAGAGGGAGCAGCAGCTGCTGGAGGCCATGGGGAATGGCACCGACCTCTCCTGCACCACCTCTTCCATGCCCGGCTTGTTGGAGGTCAAGATCGGAGGCGAAGGAGTCTGTGGGGGAGCTCATGGCTTTCCCTTAGCTCCCAACACATTAGCAGTCCTGCAGACCCCCACTGACTCTGGACGGGCTTATCCACGCTCCCCCCAAAAGCCCATTGTCCGCGTGTTCCTGCCCAACAAACAGAGGACAGTGGTATGTAGAAGGCTGGAGGCTGAAATAGAGAGCATGAAAACAATAAGATAACAAAAGTGTTTTTTCGTTTCATGTAGGGCAGAAACAATTAATCAGATTAATCGATTATTGAAATAATCATCAAATAATTTAGTAATCAGTTAATGGTTAAAAGAGAAGTCCGGTCAGCGAGGAATAATCAATGGATCATCATCTATAGCTAGAACTAATACGTTCATGGTTATTTAATGAATTTAGCCTTAATCGGTTGTTTAAAGGAAAGCTCTGTCTCTGCACCTTAAAGCTTTCTCTCTCTAGTTCACTCTCCTGAAAAGAACTCTGGACAAACTCTTTAAAGTTGTTGGGAAGTCATATTTAAATGTTCAATTATTCTGGCTTAAACATGTATATAAGTGTACTCTTTATCAGACCATATTCTCCCAAAATTTCGAAAATGTCTTAAAAAAAAAAAAAAAAACCTGTCCTGTGTTGTTTTTTTTTTTTTCTTCTGCAGGCCTGAACACCTAAATTCGGCCAATAATATATCAAAGGTAATCTGTCAATCAAATTTGTTCGGTCTTAGCAATAAGATATTTTCCCACCCCTACAGGGGAGGGCAATAAACATCTTAAAGTATCAGAAATATTAATTCCAAGCTGGCAGAGAATTGAATAGAACATAAATTCACTATATTAATATGACATCCTATTTTTGTGGGCACTGAACTTAATATCCCAACAAAGGCTTACAGCCGTACATGTTTGAGCCCTTGCCTCGCAACGCTGCCAGTTCTGTTAGCTCTACGCCTGCTGAAGACACAGACGTCCATCCCTGTGAACACTGGGACGCAACTCAATGGGAAAGGAAAGGATTCTGATTTCAACCGTTGCGTATATTAGCTGCAACATGAATCAAGATGCTATGAAAGAAAACATTTGATTGACAGATGACCGTTGATTTATGATTGGCCGAATGTAGGTGTTCAGGCTGACTTAGAACTAACTGGCCTGCAGAAGATAACGGAAAAAAACATTTTTTAAGGCAGGATTTTTTTTTTTAATAGAAATTTTCTAACTTTTGGGACAATATGGTCTGATAAAAAGTAAATTTATATAATATATATTTAAGCCAGAATGATTTGACATTTAAGTTTGATTTCCCCACGACTTTTAATCTTTTTTTTTTTTTGTACATGACCAAATGGACTAAAGGGATACACGCCCATTGAGGTAGTTTAAAGTCTATTTTTCGTACAAAACGAAAGGGATAAATGCAAATCTGACGTCTTGTGCATGCATATTGATTATAGGTATGCTGGTCTGACAGAACAGCAGCACAAAAACTCAGCTGTTTAGTTTAGGATCTTTGCTAGATTAATTTGTAAATAAGGTCGACCAACGTGTGTCATTGCAGTGTTTTGGTGCGTCCATGGCTGCATTATTGGATCAGGCAGGAATATATAAACAATCCTGCTGTTCAGCCTCAAATACTTCAATTCGATTTTAAGCAACATTTTGCGCTCAAAGATTTCTATCAGTAACTATAAAAATTTCATTTAATTTTGCAATGCATGGATTACATTAATGTTTTTATTTTTTTAAATTTAGCGGTTAAACATGTTTTCCTGCTTCCAAGAAAAGGTTGCGAAAAGCATCTGACCTCAACATGTTCCTTCTGCAACAAATGGAAAAAGACTGAAAACCAGAGACATCCAGTAGCAAAGTACAAATACTGTAGTAGAAATGTTGGCTATCTATACTTTACTTTAGCTGGTAAAGCTAAAGTAAAGCTTCAACATTTTTTTTCCTGCATTACTTTTATTTTTATACTTTATGTAGTTTTAAAAATGGTACTTTTTGCTATACTTTTACTTGGGTAAAAAGTTTAAGTCGATCCTCTAACTTCTACAAACGTGTTTTTAAACAGTAGAATTTATTTTTCTACTGGAGTAATAAACTTTAATACTTTAACACATCTGTTTATTAATGAAAAAAGTGTCACTACCTGCAGTGTTTTATAGAGATGAAGATGTAACAGCCCCATTGCCAATCAGACACCCCCCCCCTAAAAGTGTTAATTTCATCAGCTTTTTTAAAATTAGTCTTAGTCAAAATGACGAAAATCAATTTTAGCCTTAGTCCTATTTTAGTAATTTTTGTCATTTTAGTAATTTTTTTATTTTAGTCAACCCTGTAAATAATAGAACTTCTCCACACACTGCTTTTTTAACATATATATCACACTGTACAGAATAAAATTTCACCACACACTGCTTCACTTTTTCTCTACTTTATTTTTATGACACTGTGCAGAATAGAACTGATTCTCTTTTTAACTTATATCCCTCTGCACACATTGAACCTTTTGAGCAGCGCGAGGCACTGTGGGACAGGCGCGATGTACGGACACCCACGGCAACAACGCATAATCTTCTCTTTGTCTGGTCTTAGTCTCGTTAACGAAAATCATTTTTTATTTTCGTCATATTTTTGTTTTCTTGAAACAATTTTTGTGCGTCATCTCCTCATCGTCACTGGAAAAAGGGGTCTTAACGAAATATTTTCATCATCATCCTGGTTGACCAAATTAACATTGCTCCCTGCCTTCTGAAAGGGAGAAACATTCAAACAACAATAGACTTTTATTTTGAAAAGGCTATGGCTTTTCCATCAGATGATGATGTCATGGTTCTGGTTGCCTAATTTGACTTAAAAGACGCCTTTAGCTGACAGGTTTTAACAAGGTTTAACCCACTTAGAGCAGGTCATTACCAATTTATCACAATTGAAAACAAAAAAGTTCATGTCTTTAAACTTTTTCATCTATGGATATGCTCTATAATCCAGAACTCCTCCAGTGGAAGATGATGCAAACTTAAATGTGACACTGTTACCATTAGTTAAAAAACTAAGAAAATGAAGTCTAAGGAAGTTATTATCCAGAATTGTGCCAAAATGTTCTTTTAATAAGGTAGAGCAGCAAAGCTTCTGGTCGTAACAAATTTTCCTTCATCACTTTTACTTTTATACTTTAAGTCATTTAAAAAATTTTACTTTTACACTTTTACTGGAGTAAAAAGCTGAAGTTTATCCTCTAACTTCTACTAAAGTGTTTGTAAACAGCAGGATTTCTACTGGAGTTATAAACATGAATTCTTTTATCACCTCTGCTGCAAACAGAACTTCTTCCTGTTAAATGCAGCCTTTAAATGACTCTGGCAAAAATGCATCTTTTTCTTTTTTATGTATGAATTATTTATGTAAAAACATGTAAAAGCAGAGGCTGACTGAAAAGCAGCTGAGAGGAGAAACGTTCCAGATGCAGATGAAACCTTAACGTCTGTTTGGGTCACTAACCTGCCACCTGAAGCCTGCAGGCTCAGCATTGCGACAACAGAAAGGTTCTGCTCTTCTAGATGCTACCCATTCAGTTTGGGACGCTGTTTTCTGTGCAGGTTCCAGCCCGCTGTGGGATGACTGTGAGGGACTCGCTGAAGAAAGCGCTGATGATGCGGGGACTCATCCCAGAGTGCTGTGCGGTCTATAGGATACAGGACGGGTAGGTGTTCTGAGAAAACCATGATTTCCACCCCTTTGGTGTCAATAAGGAGCTCTTTACTGGCTTTAATGGGGATTTAAACATTAAACAACCGTCAAACTAAAATATAAAACAAGCAACAAGCAAAGAATAATTTAAAGATATAAAAATTATATAAAATCTCTGCTGTTTGCTGAGCCTTGGAGGCAGAAATAAGGTTTTTATAAATAGTTTTTGAACTCAAATTGGACTTTCCTTTTGCCACTGTTCTGCTCATGCTTTAATGAGGATGTGCCTCTCCTTTATGAGCACCAGCGGAACCAAGACTCTGCAGATTAGTTCCTACTAGAATAAATGTCCTAATGGCGCCCCAGGAAAAAAGCATGATAGAAAACGGGGGAGGGTTAGCCTAGTGGTTAGAGCTGTGCTCTAAGAAGGTGCAAAGTACCTGGATCGATCCTCACAGCCTCCACTTTGGGTCCCTGAGCAAGACCTTCAGCACCGCACAATGGCAGCCCACTGACATTTTATATAAACTTTTTTCATAATATTTTACTGATTTAATACAAATTTTGACTACAAATAATAATAGCATATACTACAGCCTTTAATATATATACATTAGAGATGTTTTAAGGTGTACATATCCACAATAGGTTTATATGGTACACTAGAACCATTTCATTCGATGACATCATCACCACACACTTGGGAAAAATGTCCCCCATCAAATTGACTGCCAGTGGGAGTTCTGGGATAATAATAAACTCCTATGATCCAATATTTAATGTCTGAAGGCTATAACAGTATAGATCAGGGGTCGGCAACCTTTAACACCGAAAGAGCCATTTGATCCGGTTTCCAAGGAAAAGAAAACATTGGGAGCCGCAAATACTTTTTGACATCTAAAATGAATTTATTTATGAACGCATTTATTAAATAGAAAGAAAATATATATAAAAAAACCTTTACACTTTGTTTAAACAACTAAAGTGTGTTGCTTATGAAATCCACTAAGTGCTACAGAGAAAATTTTATTTTATCTAATGAACACATTTTGAACATTTTTTATTTTTTGAAAAATTATTGGATTTTTTGATTTTTTTTTTCAATTAATTAAAAAGCTGAACTTAAATTATTCATGTGGCAAACAAAAGCAACAAAAATGCCGTGAGCCGTCATCCTTATATCGCCTTTGGGCTTTCAGAGCATGTCGCGGAGCCTTGACCTGAATTTCAAAAATAAATTGGGGAAAAAAGAACTGTGTCACTAAACAATGAAAAATAAATATTTGCAAAATATCTGCATAAATATTTAACCTGGTTAATGGGACTTCTGCTCCTGAACCTCTGCGCACAGCGTCTGCAGATCGGGGCTGAACGACGTCACGCTCATCTTTACGCAGGACTGTAAGCTGTCTGTGAGGCGTTAGCGGCGTTTGTTTTTAATGTAGTTCATGGATCACAATAATCTTCCAATTTAGGACTAAAATATTAAAGAACTAACACAAATAAAATACACTTAAATTAAATACTTTGTTTGTTTTTTTTAGTAATTTATTTTCCCAAGCAACTCAGAGCCGCAGTATAAGGATGAAAGAGCCGCGGGTTGCCGACCCCTGCTATAGATGAATCATTTATAGCAGTCCAATGTCTAAAAGATGAGCACAAAGTCCTTTAATTAAAGGAAAGGTGATGTTGGTTTGTGTAATGAGGTGGTCCAGTTGTCTCCCAGTACATGATTCAGGTTAGCAGTAATGGTAATACAGCAGTATGTTGAAACTGATGTTATTTTAGGCACATAGAGTCAATCACCTGCTGTACTCTCCACTTCCTGTTTCAGAGAGAAGAAACCCATTGGCTGGGACACGGACATCTCATGGCTGACGGGGGAGGAGCTCCATGTGGAAGTGTTGGAGAATGTGCCGCTCACCACTCACAATTTTGTACGTTTTTCAGATTTCTGGAAGTATATTAATGTACCAATGAAATGCATTATCCACGACAACCCTGACCTTCAACCACAAGGTCTTTTTTTTTATTGAAAATAATAGTTAATGTAAAATCAGAGCATAAAATGACGAAGACGCAGCAGCTAAATGAAAATGGAGCCGCTCTCCCACAGTATTTAATCATGGCGACAGATGGAAAAAATGACACCAACAAAAGTTTCATTCATTCTTCATCCTCCTGCTACCCTCCATATTTCAATCGACTAACTAGATGTAAGACCTATGAGAGAGCATCTCCTCTTAGTTTTTCATTTTAAGATGCTACATAACTTGAAAGAAATGAGGAAAGGTACTTCAGGTGGAGCAACACAGTGTGGCTGTTAGAATACAAACGGCGCCAGAAGGCAGCATGGATTAAATGACTTCTAGTGAGAATAGAGGAAATAGAACAGGTGATACAATATTCCATCCATCCATCCATCCATCCATCCATCCATCCATCCATCCATCCATCCATCCATCC